TGGAGGGGGGCATGCGGCCCCGGCACGGCCCCAGCGGACAGATGGGCCACCAGCCGCTGCCGAGCTCCGTGATGTTCCCCGCCCCGAGCCAGCTGCAGCCCTACCTGGGGGCCGTGGGCGCGCAGCAGCTCATGGCCAGCATGCACCTCCAGAAACTCAACACCCAGTACCAAGCGCACCCGCTGATGGGCATGAGCAACGGGCCCATGGCCACCGGGGCCCCGCAGTACCGGGTGGTGCACCCCCCGCACCCTGGCATGCAGCACGTGCCCTCGCCCGCGCTGACCTTGAATGTTATGGACACTGACCTCGTCGATGAGGAGGTCTTGACCTCTCTGGTCCAGGAACTGGGCTTGGACCGGATTCAGGAGCTGCCCGAGCTCTTCTTGGGACAGAATGAATTTGACTTCATTTCAGACTTTGTCAGCAAACAGCAGCCCAGTGCCATCAGCTGCTGAGGGGCCTGAGGCTTCCTCTCCTTGTTGGCTTGGCTCCCCCACGGCTGTCCCAGCGCCTCCCCAACAAGCACTGGATGCCGATGGCTTGCCATGGATTGCTCTCTTCTCCGAGTGGGGCCTTCTTGTTTGGGAGTGAGGGGACATCCTGCTGTAGGTTCCCCCCAAATGCCATAAACAGGGCTTGTCTTGGTAAACAATGAACTTTCCATGTCTGGGCTGCCGAGTGCCGGAGCCAACGGACCTCGCGGGGCTGCTGCCACCGGGCTTGTCCTAGGATTGGGCATTGCCAGCGCCGTTCCCAAGCAGTGTTGGGATCGAGCCCTCTCGTGGCTTGTGTCTGAGCCGCACAAGAAGGGGCTGGGGCTTGGCTTTTGTCTTAAAAGCAAATCCGCCTTTGCCCCACGTACTGTGATGCTGAACAGGTCCCTTGCCCCTGACTCCAGGGATCCCTTCCCCCTCCATAAGGTTATTGTTAGTTTGTCTTAGCTGCACAAACTGTCTGGGGGGAGGGTGGCATTTGCCTAAACCTCTGTAGACTTTGGATCGTTTCACTTGTACAGCAACCAGCCGTACAACTGAGTGTTCAGGCTGTTTTCGATGCGAGGCTTAAAGCTGCAGGCAAGCTCCGTTTTCTCTGCCTCGGAAACCAAATAAAACCCATAGGCTGGTGTATCCCCGACATTCTTATTTATTTTTTCTGTAAGAATTATTTATTGGAAAGGGCTCCCTTTGTTGTTTGGCTCTGACTGTTAGCAACAACTACAGGGCTTTCTGCAGCTCCCAGATGCTGGCTTTTCCTTTTAAAGGGCTGGACTAGCGAATGGTTCTTCCAACCAACCATGCACAGGGTTCTTTCAGCAGCCTAATTTGGTGGTGAATAGGTAGGGCCTTGTAACCCGACCCTGCCTGGTGTGATAAAGGCTGGTTTGACTCCCAGTGCCACTGCGCAGAAACGGTGAAATGTGACAGCCAGAGGGTTTTGTTTCCTCTTGTCTCTTGTTTCCAGGCGCTTTGGCAAGTGCAGCGCTCTGCTTAGGAGCGACTGCCCCCTGCTGCCAAGCACACGGGGCAGCACCTTGTTGATCAATGGCGAGAAACTGGGCGGACGGAGTTTCAAATAAAAGCGAAGCCCGCGGTAGTGAGGCGCTTGCTTGGTGGCTTGTTTATTGGATGTGCCTGGGGGGGATATACTTTGGACACTTTCTGGGAGTGGCATCCAGTGCCAATTTAATCAAAGCTTCATCTTTGTGTCCTGGGGGGGTTGGCAACCTCGGCCTGTGCCCATGTCGGGCACTAACAGCTGGCGGCCAGGGCCGATGAGTATGTGTGTCTGGGCTCTGGAGCGGGCCCCTCACTGTCTTCCATCCAGGTGTGTCAATATTACAATAACAGACAGGGCTGCCCGTGGCTTAAACAGCTGAGCCCTTAAAGCCTAATCCAAAAGGGGTCTCTGTACCCCCAGCAGCACGAAGCTGCAATCCCTGCTGCTAGACACTGCACTGGTGTTTGCCCACTGGAACAATCCCCCTTTTAGGCAAACTGCCCCGAAAGCGAACATGCCTGAAGGGTCTGGAGAAGGGCTCTGGTGCCTCCTTCTTACCTGCTGCTGGGCTTGTGTGACTTGCTGGGCTCCTAAGAGTCGCCACCCGCCCCTCCCATTGGGGACCTGGCTGGGCAGCGCTTTGTTCCTTCACCCACTTCCCCTCCTCTGAAACACCCAGAGGATGCTGCTGGCCTGCCCCGTCCCACACTCCGCTGTGGAGCGGTTTATCGATTTTTCCCAGAGTGCTCAATGACGAGAGATTTTTCTCTTTTGCTGTTTGTGCTGAATGTTCCTGGGAGGAGTGGTGGATGTTCCTGGGAAGAGGGGTGGGAACCTGCCAGTGGCCTGGGGAAAAGCCTCTGGAAAAGCAGGCTGCAGAATGAGGCACTTTGGTGCAGTTGCTGAGGGGACCGAATGGCCGAGGTGTCGGTCGGCCGGAGAGACAACCATGGGCTGGATAGATTTGAACTTCATGTGCTGCCTGGCTAGGAATAAGGCTGCCTCCACCCTTCCAACTGCTGGGAGCTGCCCTGTGGTAGACAGACGGGGGGTAACTGGCCCCTGTTCTGTGTCAGCCTCATGAGCAGGATTAGGGATGTAACATCCTGTATGATTGGTCGCTGAGTTAGTGTTTAACCAAGTAAAGGCGGGTGGGCTGGAGCAGCTCTTGCCCCCTGGTTAACTGGAACCAATAAGCATCACCTGATAAGGGTCGTGCTTACCAGGTAACCGCGCACATCCCTGCTCAGGATGGGACTAGCCAAGTAAGAAGTTAATGCATGAATGGAACTGGGGTTTCTCAAACACGGCTGTTATGTGCAGCACAGGCACTGCTGATGGAATAAATGGCATGAATGTTAGTTACAAACTGAGGCTTTGTCTTTTAGTCCTATTTATTTTAGAGTGCACTTAACCAAGCCACAGGCCCTGGGTGGGCTGGGAGGGAGTGGTCTGTGGGGTGCATCCCCTCCCCAAGGCCCTGATGTGAAGGACCTAGCCAATGCGGGGTCAGTCTGCTAGTACTGGTAATAAAGTGCTGCTCCTCCATTCTCTGCGCACCATGGGAACTCCCTAAATAATCCAAAAACAGCCTAACTCACTCCCCTCTGCTACCAGACTGGAGAGCTTGTGTGAAGTATAAGGCTGATTAATAATGCAAGTGCAGCATGATAGCTCCTAGTCCACGTCCAGGGGATGTGAGCTCATGGGTATGGCTCACTCTTGGCTCCAGCAGCAGAACTTGATAAAAGGTGCATTAGATGGGTAGGCAATGCCTTGTGAAAGGTCCTGGCTTTAATTTGAGTTAAGACCGCTGAAGTTACTGGTGATGGTGCATAATAGTCATTAAAGAGAATCCCAGCTCTTAGGAGCACATCTTAACATAAGAACGGCCGTACTGGGTCAGACCAAAGGTCCATCTAGCCCAGAATCCTGTCTGCCGACAGTGGCCAGCACCAGATGCCCCAGAGAGGGTGGACAGAAGACAATGATCAAGCGATTTGTCTCCTACCATCCCTCTCCAGCCTCTGACAAACAGAGGCCAAGGACACCATTTTATCCCCTGGCTAATAGCCTTTTATGGACCTAACCTCGATGAAATTATCTAGCTTCTCTTTAAACTCTGTTATAGTCCTAGCCTTCACAGCCTCCTCTGGCAAGGAGTTCCACAGGTTGACTACACGCTGTGTGAAGAAGAATTTTCTTTTATTAGTTTTAAACCTGCTACCCATTAATTTCATTTGGTGTCCTCTAGTTCTTCTGTTATGGGAACTAAGAAATAACTTTTCTTTATCAGCCCTCTCCACACCACTCATGATTTTATAGACCTCTATCATATCCCCCCTCAGTCTCCTCTTTTCTAAACTGAAAAGTCCCAGTCTCTTTAGCCTCTCCTCATATGGGACCCGTTCCAAACCCCTAATCATTTTAGTTGCCCTTTTCTGAACCCTTTCCAAGGCCAAAATATCTTTTTTGAGGTGAGGAGACCACATCTGTACACAGTATTCTTAGCCATTGGGGTTACGATTGTTTTACAAACCCCTTTCACACAAGTCTGAATCTCAGTGAGCATAACGCTTGCAGGGTATTCTCAGACGCTGCCAATGCCTTAGATCCAAGGGATCAGGGAAGAGTTGAGTTCCTAAATAGTCCAGCTTGGAGAACCTACCTAAGGATGTTAAGGACTAGTCCATTTCGCGCCCCCCCCCCTGCATCAAACAGATGCAGCAAAGGCGGGGAAGAGAGGCTACTTTGGAACACCGCCATGGCACTGCCGCTTTGAAGGAGCAGCACTGCACAGCTGATGCCGGGCTCTGTGCAGCGCTGCCCCTTTGAAATGCAGTGGCAGCGTTTCAAAGCGGCAGCGCCGTGCGGTGCCCAAGGTCAGCTGGGGACTCCCTAGCTGACCCCGGGCTCCCTGTGGCATTTGCGTGGAACCCAGAGTTAACTGCGGAGTCCCCAGCTGACTCCAGGCTCCGCGAGGGCACTTCCGCTTTGAAATGCACAAGAGCCCCCATGGCCTGCCTGGAGTCAGTGGGCCTTCCTGCAGGCCCGGGGCTGCACTTGGAGTTCCACATTTGAAATGTACAGGAGGGCCAGCGGGGGCCCAACAGGACGTTCCAGAGGAGGAATGGGGAAGTGCCTGTCCGGTAGTCGATGGAAGTTCCATGGAGTACTCAACTAGTAAATTACTTGTCAGTGAACATCCCAAACCTCGTCCAATGATTCACGTAGGGCGCCCGCAGCAGCTGGCTGAGTTGGCGTGACGGTAACCCGCCTGGTCTCTCCCTCCATGTTTAGCTGGGACTTTGTGAAGCTCTTTGGGAGGATCCTCTTGGTCCATTTATTTCTTTAACCCAGACGGCTACAAACTTTGACTCCACGGGGCCGCCTGCCTGGCAGGGCTGCAGCGTGTGGAATGGTCCATGTTCCCAAGGCCCTTGCCACAGGAAAAGACGTTGGAGGCCTCTCTTCTCTGGTGCCTTCAGGTAGCGGTGCCCATGTGATCGCAGCCTGGCTTGGTGCCTTTGGTAGCAATGCTGATCTCACTGGAAGGAAGCTCTTCCATTGGCTTCAGCTATGGAGCCTCGGGCCTGATTTGGGGCAAGAGACTGCTCTGAGAGCTTGATTTTATCTGCTTGAAAATTCTCCTCTGGCCAGGTTCAAATGGAAAGTCATCTGCCGCCGCCCCCCCGCGGTATCTCTGGCCCATGATTTTCATACCTAGGGAGCTCTAGGACGGCCTTAATGCACTGTCGCCAGGGAACATGCTCTCCAGCCACCAGGCCGCTAGGAGACGGGATGGCTGGGTGTGTCTGCCCCCCTCAGCCACCTGGGCATGATGGAGCAGCTGTAACAACACCCTGTCTCCCCAGCTGCCTGGCACCCTGCTCTCTAGCCTCCGAAGTCCAGTGGGAATGCGCCAGGCGGGCTGTGGGCTCGCTGGCTCCCTAATGGTCTGAAGGTGTAGACTAGTTCTCCATGGCTGTTGCCTGCCCAGCTGGCGAGGGGCACAGCGTAACCTCCCCCCACGGGCCAAGGTGCCTCACTGAGAGTCGGGGGATTCAGGCCCCTACATCAGGTTTGAAAACCTTCCCCTGGTTGCAGAAGCACTGGGCCCGGCTGCTGGAGGACAGCTGAACAACTGCCCTGGCCAGGGGCATCCCTGAG